TCTTAGGAGGGATTCCCTACTAAGGCAGGGATGCCATTCAGAAAAGCTTGGCTGAATTTTCCCATAAATATGTCTCACTCCCATGCTCCCTAATTCCCCTCCATGGTACAGTTCTACCTCATTTGGACATCACTTTTAATAATCTGCTCTTCCTGGATCTGCTCAGAGGCATTTTTTCAAATCAAGGTCTCACTGCTTTCTTTGACTCTGATGGTGAGAAAATTTTAAGTGAGAGGTTTCACAGTAGAGTTAATGCAGTTAATAGTGGAGCTATTTCATCCTTGAATTCCTTTAGAGCTCTGGAATGAGAACCATCCGGCACTACCCAAGTGTTACCGTTTATTTTGTCAAGCTGTTTTATAACTTCATCTCCTGAAACATCACTTTGAGACACATTTTCTGACTTGTCCCCCATTAAGGTTTCCAGACTGAGGACTCCTGTAAATTCTTAGGCATTGACAGGAAACCTTTGCTTGGTTTCCCTGCTGCAGGTTGAGCCTCCTCGGTCGGCGCTTTGCATCTCTATTTTTTGACTTTCTGCTCAGATGTGTTTGAGAAAGAAAATACAACCGGCAGGTAACACCTGAGCTACCAGTGGGCACTGGAGGGATGAGAGGGTGGTGTGGATGATGATTTTGGGAAGTTCTCTCTCACCCCAGAGACAGCAAACCTCATGTCTGGAAGAGGCTCCCAGGGCGGTGGGCACAGCACCAAGGCTGTCCGAGTTCAAGAAGCATTTGGACAACACTCTCAGGCACATGGTGCAACTTTTGGGGTGTCCTGTGGAGGGCCAGGAGTTGGATTCTATGGTCCTGATGGGCCCCTTCCAACTCAGCAGATTCCATGATTCCACGATTCTATGATCTTTGGAAAGACACAAACCAGGCTGTGCTTGGCCAGTGCTGCTGGAGCCTCTCCCAGCCCCTGCCTGCACTGGGGGGCTGCTCTCAGGGGTGACCCCTGCCTTCCTGGGGCAGCTCTGCTCCTTAGCGAGGACCCAGGGACTTGAAGCCATGTTGGTACCAGCCACCCCCTTCTGCTGCCTGCCTGTCTTGCCTCCCCATGACAACAACCATCACCAAGGGGTGAACACGGATCCTGCAGGGCATGGAAACCAAATCCTTTTGTAGGGGCCACGTGTGAGCAGCTTCTCCAGGGGCAGATGGTGATAGGACAAGGGGCAATGATTTGAAACTAAAAGAGGAGAGATTTAGATTAGATATTGGGGTGAAATTGTTCCCTGTGAGGGTGGGGAGGCCCTGGCCCAGGTTGCCCAGAGAAGCTGTGGCTGCCCCTGGATCCCTGGAAGTGTCCAAGGCCAGGTTGGATGGGGCTTGGAGCAACCTGGGCTAGTGGAAGGTGTCCCTGCCCATGGCAGGGGGTGGAATGAGTTGGGCTTTAAGATCCCTTCCCACCCAAACCGTTCTGGGATTCTGTGATTCCTGCCATGGGCAGGGACACCTTCCACCAGCCCAGGTTGCTCCAAGCCCTGTCCAGCCTGGCCTCGGACACTTCCAGGGATCTAGGGGCAGCCACAGCTCCAGCTTTGCCCACATCACCTTGCTCTCCACAGGCAGCTCCATATTCTTCTTCCATTATCTTCTTCTCCTTCAAGAGCCTCAGCTGTGCTCCCAAAATCTCCCTCCACGTGGCCCAAGGCTCACGTTCCCCCCCAGCCCCTCACGTTTGGAGCTGCTGCCTCTCCAGCAGCTCTAATTCAATTACAGCCTCTTCAAGTGTTTCACTTCAGCTTTGGCTCTTCGGTGGAATTTCTATCCAGCAAAAACTGGATTTGCTTCGCTATTACAGGCACTTCCTACCTGTGAGAGCGAGTTCCCTCTGCATTAATATTCTGGTCACTGTGTCACCACGTACTAAAGGTGCCACTGCTTTTTTAATGCTTCCCTCCCCGTGCTCTGGAGGACAAAGCAGCTCCAGTTTCTCCTTGGGCTGTGTGTGCTCTGTGCCAGCAAACCCTGAGTGTCAGTGATGATTATGATTCACAACTGGAGTATTTAATGCAGGATTTTTCCAGCCCCGTTTTTTCCCTCAGATGCCAATCCGGGTGCCCAGGAGCCAGCAATGCCCTGTGCTGCTGGAACAGGGTAGAGAGACACCTTCCACCTGCTGGATGAATGAGGGCCATAGAAGGTTTCACAGAACCACAGGATGTGCTGAGCTGGAGGGGACCCACAAGGATCATCCAGTCCAACCCCTGGCCCTGCACAGGCCCAGCCCCAAGAGTCACCCCCTGGGCCCCAGAGCATCATCCAAACCCTCCTGGAGCTCTGGCAGCCTTGGGGCTGTGCCCACTGCCCTGGGGAGCCTATTGCAGATCCCTCTCCTGGCTGCTGACTTTGACTCCAAGCAGGACTGAGCCAAGTTCAAACAGTCTCTGTCCAGGCAGGAGTGGTCCCAGATGAGAGGGTGCCAACAAGGAGACAAGATGAACGTGAAGGAGAGGAAGATGTTCTGCTTTGAAATTCCCTCAGCTCTGGTGAGGTTGGACACAAAAGTCTGCTGGTTTGTGGAAGAGAATTTTCTTCATGTTGCCTTGGCTGTGTGGGTAAAACCCATGTGAAGCTTCACTGGGATAGAGGATGTGCTTGGAGATGGATTTGCTCTGCCCAAGCTCACCTGAGAGGTTGGGAAAAGCTGCTCTGCTTGCAGGTGGTGAACACTGTGCTGGTCCAGTTGGAACTGGCCAGAGAAATCTGCACAGGGAAACATGGAAAACATCAGTGGAGAGGGGTAACCGTTCCTTATCCCTCCTTTAGGGGTTACATATGTACATAAATACATATATCAGGTGGTTGGGCACTGACCAGGCTCCCCAGGGCAGTGGGCACAGCCCCAAGGCTGCCAGAGCTCCAGGAGGGTTTGGACAACACTCTGAGGGACAGGGTGGGATTGTTGGGGTGTCTGTGCAGGGCCAGGAGTTGGACTCAATGATCCTTGTGAGTCCCTTCCAGCTCAGGAGATTCCATGGTTCCATGATTCTATGACATAAGCTCAGGGCTTGGCTTTCAGGTGCTGGATCCAAGGTTTGGATCTTAGAGACGGCGCATGGGAAGGGTCCTGTGGGATTTGAACCCTGGCTGATGCCATTTCTCCACGTCACATCTTCACACTCTTGTAGAGGTCCCTCAGCTCTCCACCATCAGGTGATGACGAAACCCCAAAGGGCAGTGCTTTGGAAACAGCAGCATTCCCAGGAAAAGGAAGGCTGGGACAGTCATGATTCACTCAGCCATGGCTTTGTATCCACGTGCACTGTCAGTTCATGGGATCACAGAACATTCTGAGTTGGAAGGGACACACAAGGACCATCCAGTCCAACTCTTTGGTGAATGGCCCACACGGGGATCCAGCTCACAACCTCGGTGTTCCTGCAGCATTCCCCAGCCAAGTGAGGAAGACAATCAAGTATTATTCTCACTTCCCTTTGGAATATCACAATACAAATAGTATTGTTGTCCCAGTTTTCAAGAAGGGTAAGAAGGAAGACCCTGGTAACTGCAGGTCTGTCCATCTCACCTCAGGAGCTCTCCCAGGAGGACCCGGTTCATCCCTCCAACCCCCAGCCTGATGTGTCCATCCAAGCAAAGCCCAGCTGCGTCCAGATGTGCCACTTTGGCTCATGGACCTGCTGCTGCTCTATCCTGTTGCTTTTGCGGAAGGAAAACCCTCCGAGCCCGCGGGGAGGCAGGAGCTGCTGCCTGGTTTGAGCGCGTTCGCGGGTTCCCGAGCGCTCGGGGCTCGTGTTGTGCAGAGCACACTTGCCATCTAGTGGGGGAGAGCTGTTTGTTCGCCTTCAGCGCTCCCCGGAGTGGGATCCATCTCTAATGGGGATCATCGGAAAGGCGGAGCTCCCTCTTAACCTTTGGGATGAGCACTGGACCTTCCCAAGCTGATGGCAAAAGGACTTCGTGCCCAGTTTTAACCCCAAACTTGCTTTGAGCCCTCTAATATCAGGCAGGATAGGTCCTGAGTGCCTGGCCATGGGCAGGAAAAGCCACAGGACACTGTCCTGGGGATTTACTGTCTGTCTGTGACTTTCTTCTGGGCTCTGTGGCTGCAGCTGGAGCTCCAGTGCAGGGTTCAGTGACTGGGGAAACGTTCTTACCTCTTGCCTGATTGCCAGATTCTAATTAAAATGAGAACTCTGCATATTTCAAACATCCATTATATGCATTTCCTACAGGAAATTGGATTTAAACAACAACAACAACAACAAAAAGAAATAGACCATTTTCTTCTGGCAGCTCCTACAAATTAGCAGAGAACAAAGTGTTCCCCTGCAGCCTTTTGGTGGGGCCTGTCCATCAAACACCCACCAATGTGCTCAGACTGCAGTGTCACAGAGTGGTGGCAGTTCCACAGCTCTGGCTCCTGCTGACTATCCCAAATTTTGAAGAGCTTTGGCAGATGCTAAAACTTGCTGACCTCTGGTCGAGCATCAGAAATTCTCCAGGAATCCCAGAATGGTTTGGGTGGGAAGGGACCTTAAAGCTCATCCCATTCCCACCCCCTGCCACGGGCAGGGACACCTTCCACTAGCCCAGGTTGCTCCAAGGCCCGTCCAACCTGGCCTTGGACACTTCCAGGGATCCAGGGGCAGCCACAGCTTCTCTGGGCAACCTGTGCCAGGGCCTCCCCACCCTCACAACCAACAATTTCTTCCCAATATCCCATCTATCCCTGCCCTCTGGCATTGAGAAGTCATTCCCTGTGTCCTGTCCTTCCATCCCTTGTCCCCAGTCCCTCTCCAGCTCTCCTGGAGCCCCTTTAGGCCCTGGAAGGGGCTCTCAGCTCTCCCTGGAGCCTTCTCTTCTCCAGGTGAACCCCCCCAGCTCTCCCAGCCTGGCTCCAGAGCAGAGGGGCTCCAGCCCTTGGGGAATCTCCGTGGCCTCCTCTGGACTCTCTCCAGCAGCTCCATGTCCTTCCTGTGAAGTCTAAAAGCACCTCTGAGCTCAGCAACGGGCTCAGGCTCAGTCTCCCTCTTCCTATCCTGGTCCTGTGGAATAACTACACTGAGTTTTGGTGGTGGAAGTGCCACAGGACCACAGCAAGAGCAGGATTTTATCACCCAAGGAGTTGTGCACAGTTTCTTTCCCAGCAATGCTGACACAAATCCAGAATTACTGAGTGGAGAGAAGTTCTCATCTGCAAACTCAGGGCTGTTTGCACTCCATAAAACGTAACAGCAGGTTTGAAGTGCGAGGCAGAGCAGAATAAAAGAATCCTTGTTGCACCACGAGCATGAAATATGTCGGGTGTCAGGGTATTACTGACTTCCACCTATTGTAAAAACAACTCTTGAAAACCATTCAAACATTTCTATTCGAGTTGCTGAAAGAATAAAAACCAGCTCACGTGTTGGAATATTAAGCAGGGAGGCTCTTCACTTGATGGCAACCATTGTTCTCGTTCTCTTGAGCCCCTAAAAAGCCTTTATGGCCAAGAACCTTCTGTCTGACAGATGTGAAACCATTAAACATGAACCTGTTTCGAGCAGGGCTGAGAGGAATCAGAGATTCAGCAGAATAAAGAGCCAAGCACTGAGGGTTTGGAGGATTGGAAGGTTCTTGGTGCCCTCCTGGGCGTGGAGCCTGCAAATGGAACAGTTTGGGACACTCTGGATCCCTTTGCTTCCAAACCAGGGCCCTAAACGTTCTTTTTTCATGGGTTGATCCATCTCTATCTCTCTTCCATGGGAAGGGGTTTAGGATCCAGGGCTGTTCTGTGGTGATGGGGTCACCACGTGTCCCTCAGTTCCCCCCTCCTGAGCTGGTTTGGAATGGGGGTCTTGGCACAGGGGGTTGGTCCCACACATCAGGAGCAAGGGGAATCAGTTTATTTCTACTCAAGGGGGCATTTCTTTTCTTATTTATTTATTCTTCTTCCTTTCTTATTTTCTCATTCTTTCTCTCCTCTTCATTTTTGGTCACTTTTTTCCCTGCCAGGACCAAATTATCATTAACTTCCTTTTATTTTTTGTCTTATTTTGGTTTTTTTGGTTGGTTTGTCCCACAAGGGAAGGTTTGTGCAGTTTTCATCATCTCACCCACCAGTGGGGAAGGTGAAGTTTTTTGGTTGCATTTTTCCAGATCTCCTTCTCCTCAGCAAGGCCAGGTGGCACCTCTTGATTTCTTTGTTTCTTTTCCCTTTACTGACAGTTCCCTGTTTTGATCAAAAGATTTAATATTTGTTTGTATTAATCATCTTTTTTCTCTTGGATCTGCTTCATTTTTTTCATACCTAATAAAAAAAAATCCTTACTTCCTTTCTTTATTTTATTCCTTATTTTTTACCAAAAGATCAACTTTCATTAAATGCATTTTTTCATATTTCCATTATTTTTCTAATTGATTCTTCAATTTTTTTCCTCTCCTGCTTCATACTTTCTCTTTTTCAATGAAATATGGGAAACTTTTTTCCCCAGATTTGAACCTTTTTTTGTTTTACTTTTTCTTTGGGACAAAATGAAGGGATTTTTCCCCTATTTCTTCACTCTGGGATTGGAAAACAGGGCATTTTCCTTGCACTGCTGCTCCCTGTCTGTCAAATTCCTTAAGCCCAGCAGGGCAGCAACACCTTTTATCTCATTTCTTATCATTTTCCCCCGAAGGACAAAATGGTGGCAAATATTGCTTCTCATTTTTCTCTTTTCTTTCCCATCATTTTCCACCTCTTTTTTTTTTTTTTTCATGTGATTCTTCCAGTGGAACAACCTGGAAGTGGTTTCCTCTTGTTCTTATTTTCTTCTTTTCCTTCAATTTTCCATCCAGTTTCTCACCTCACCCAAGTGGAAACAAGTTTGCTTTGCTCCCTCCAGGGTGGCTGCTTTGGATTGGCTTTATTTTCTCACCCTTGGTTCTCTTTTCACAAGGGATGAAAGAACATTCCTGGTGGGAAAAAAAA